GAAGCTATACCCTGTTTAGCATACACGTAGCAATGGGGAGCTACTAATCCTCTGCCGTTCATTCGTTCCAAGGCCAAGTGCTCTGGCAGTGGAAGAATGTGGTTGCAGTAATAAACTTTCTTGCATGATTTCTCTTCTTTGCTCACAGTGAATGTATATATACGCACACCCCGAAATGGCACAATGCATTTGTTTCTGTTGCTACTGCAGCATTGCACAGGCTTCCTCTGCCAAAGCACAAAAAAAGGAGATAAATACAGAAGGCACTTCATACCTTGGCTGCGGTTTGCTGGATTTGTCGTGACACAGGGGGATGTGTGAATTAGCTTTGTTGTGTTTTACCCTAGCTATAATAAACTAGAGGGGAGCTGAAAAAGGAAAAGTAAAGCAGGTGGTTTGTGATGTTAAGAGCCATGCTGTCTAATCTGTGTCTGGTTTGATACAGATAACCAAGGCATTCGGTGTACTTAGAGAGAGATATCTGCATGACTGCATGTTGTACGATGAAATGTGAGGGTGAGTGGGTGTGAAGAAGTGACACATCTTTATTATTGATAAGACTTTCAGGGTTTCAGTGCAAGAGTGCTTGAAGAAAGGGGTTAATCGTGAGGACAACCGATATTGACTGATGGATAGGTGTATTAACTGACTGAAATGGACTATAATGTAGGATAAATATTAGTGAATAATCAGTAATTTGAATATTCACAAGACTCAAAAGACAGGTAACAAATTCTTTATCCGTTTCTACAACCCATGTGGTTCAACTCCCACCGTATCAGGGAGATCCACTAGTATCCTCCCTTCCCAGTCTCATCGTGGGGGAATTGTTGTTGTTCTAATCTACCCTGAGAACTCAGCTAATCCCGTCTTCCATCTTGATGTTCCACAGCTAATGCCAAGAAACTGCTGAGCCACAGAGACTCTGCAGCACCCTGACTATGCAGTGTAATTTTGTTTCTTCTATTTCCACACTCAGCTCTGAAACTGCTTAGTGCATTGAGGTTTTGGGTCTTATGGCTCTCACTCGACCAACTAAGCCTAGAGTTGACCTGATCTGCTTCCACATGGACAATGTGCTTACTCATGGCATTACTAGTGCACAACAAGCTATTGTATTTGTTAAATACTGCATTTTGTTGTTCTGTTAAAGCCTCAAACCTATTATTCCATTTCCAGTTCAAGTCAACCTTAGGACCTCATTCTGGTTATGTGGTGCTAAATCCTGAATCCACGAACAAAATCCAACGTCATGCAACAACAAAAAGGAGAAATAATCTAACATTCAGAGTCGAGATGCAAAACGAGTGTATTGGCATGCTGTGGAACCTGTGTTTTGAATGGACAGTTAGCACTGATATCCAATTGCATGGATCAAAGTGGTGGCTTTGATCCAAACTGAAATATATCAGCAACTATTGCCTGAATTTTGAACAGACATTCATGCTCTACTGACTTTCGTCATCCCCTGAGTGTTCATCTAGCACAACCAGGATCTTATGTGTCGTTTTGAGTGAAATGTCTCCACAACTATGAGTTGGATGACTTAGGTGACTTTTCCTAAGACACAAACATCAGGTTCAATATTCGCATCAGCCTCAGCTAGCATGTTATACCAGCTGTATATAACTGCTAAACATTAGCATGTTAGCATTGTCTTTGTAAGCATGTTAGCCCAGTGACATTAGCATTTAGATCAAAGCACTAGGTAGTTACCCTCAAACATCTAAAATGAAATATGTGAATTTAATTTGCAACATTTTTAAAGTCAGTGTATCAATGTTTTCACCTTTGACCAAGTCAGTCAAACTGTGCTCAAGTAATGTAACATGTTTGTCTATCTCAGTCAGACTCAGTAAGGCTTGATGTCACAACAATGGAGAACGAAACAAATGTCATAAAAGCCCAAGCGGTGAGTAAATAGGCTCTTCAGCTTTTCATTTACAAGGAACATTGCAGAGATTGAGACACACTGGATGACCATGAATAGGACCATTAGTCAGTAAGTCAGGGTTGACCTCAGCGCTCCTCAGGATTTATGAAAAGAGTCAGAATATGACCCCAAAGGAGGAAAATGGCCTCAAAGCAGCTTAAGTTTGAAATCCCAAACTTACTCTTTTGTCTGTTCCTCTGTTCAACAATAACATTTCAGTTCTCTCTGTCCTGCTCTCTTTTGGTAGACTATTTTCTTTAAAAGTTTGTGTTTGCGATCAAGGAACTAGAAAAAGAAAGGCAGAAGAAAGAGCAGTGACCTTGGTGTTAATGAACAAGTCTTATCTCTGCTAGGGAATGGGACGGCTTATGTAAGAATATCTCACACTCTCGTTCTCTCTGTTTATCTTTTTGTCTTTCAAACATATTTTCTTTGTCTCCATATCTCCACTCGCACCTCGTTCCTTTCTTCTACCAATGCTCGCTCGCCTTCCCCTCATTTCATTACTCTTTGATGCTCAGACATACTGTATGTGGGACGTCACGCAGCTTGTTAGAGGTGGAGGAACACACCGAGGAGAGCTGGTAGAGGACAGATAGGGATAAGCAGGGCGATGCAAAAAAAAAGGGGGTTACCAGGAAAGAGGGTCATAACACAACATAGGAAACACCTTACAATGCAATACAGCAGCTTTAAATACCAGTTTAAAAAAAAGCATATTACATATTTTGTCAGATTAGCAAATAATCTCTTAAATGTCTTTCAGGGACTGTGGCTAAGTGGATAGCAGGGCCGTCTTTCAATCAGAGGGTCGGCGGTTCGAGCTCCGGCTCCGCTAGTCGCATGTCGATGTGTCCTTGAGCAAGACACTTAACCCCAAAATTGCTCCCGTAGCTGTGCCTACGGTGTAGAAATGTGATAGACTCTGAATTGTAAGTCACTTTGGATAAAAGCGTCTGCTAAATGACTGTAATGTAATGTGACTGTGTGTTTCTGACCACTGTACCTCTCTGTCAGTGCTGTTTCTCTCTTTCCATAAACGTCTTGTCTACCCCTTTAGGAAGGGACTTCATGCAGAACCTTTTCTGATGTATTATGCATGTGTTTATCATTATATGTATTTGCAGTACAAGCAGTGTTGTCGTGAGTAGCAATACAAGTGATGTGTTTACGAGAATGTTCACAATGTGTTTTTCAGTTGCAGCTTTATCACAGTACTGTATTGTATGGCTAGATTATCTGTATGAGAGCAAAGGGCAACTCTTAAGGTAAAGGTTTTACGTAACTCTGTCAATGACTGAGACACTGTTGTTGTTGTTTTACATCTTTACAAGATGATGTGGAAAGAACACAGGCAAAGGGCAGTTGAAGAGGTTAGTGAAGAGGAGGCAGACGGAAGGGGTCTGATGAAGTCTGGTATGGTGTGTGGTGTTGTTATTTCTTGATTTATGGAGCTTTGTGGCTGATGACTACATCCTGGCTGTAGTATGAGAATTTCCCTGTATTATATTATATCCTGAGTTTATGAGGTGAAAGGACACATCTTATAGGACAGGCCTTATGCAACCTAACTAATAGCAGGACCACTGTTGTCTTAAAGGGTCGCAGCACAAAACCAGGTCAAAGGGGAGGGAAAGGAGTTAAGAGAAAGGGGAGTCTGGAGATGGTATTCATATACGTGTGTGTGTATGTGTTATACTTCCTGTGGACATATTTTCTTACCCATTAAAGGAACGCATGGTACTTTCTCTGGAAGGTTCAGGAAGAGGCCATACAATAAAGAATAATTTGAATGATAAACATGTACAGGTCAGGCTAGTAAAGTCAGTTTATGGGTCTGTACATACATAACTATGATGAAATGTTGCCAAGAGAAAAAGTGTTGTGTGACCTACATATGGATACATCCACTTTGTCCTTGACTTCGTTTGTGTATACAATTTGGATTTGGCAATAAATATGTAAATATGTATGTACTTACCATATTCATACACATGTTTTTGAAATAAAGAAATATCTGAATTAATTACTGAGTTTTATAGGTGCTTGTTGGCAGATTTTGTTGGACACAGCCAGGCTAGCTGTTTCCACATTTCCAGCCATTGTGCTAAGCTATGCTAAGATAACCAACCGCTGGCAGTAGCTTTATGTTTAACTCTCCATCAGAAAGCGACTAAACGTATTTCCAAACAAAATGAAATTCTTATTCCTTTAACGCTTTAATGGTAATATCAATATGTATTGATTGAATACAATTTTGGCAAAAAGTTACTGTATCACTTTGATTTCACAGTAGATACAGATAGCTGTAGTCCTTAAAAACACACACACACACACACACACACACACACACAGACGCACAGTATTGTGACGGAATGGTATCATATTGTGTTTGACACTCTCTGCAATTGTTTGGATCCATTTTGTCCTTCCAGCACGGAGCTATGATTATAGTCAAGGGAGCAACCTTTCATACACAGGGAAAGTTTTTTTGCCGAGTTGCAAGTTTTGAACTCTAATACTCGGGCACTCGCACAATCTCTCTCACACATGCCAAGTTGTGGTAATGCAGAGGCCAGTAGAGCAGCAGCCACTGATAGAGTCCTTAATAAGACTCATTTGAAATGGCTGCAGTCACTGAACCTGTCCACTCTGTGTGCCAAGGACACCATAACAGCTTTACATAACAGCCATTCTGGGTCACTGGTCCACCTACAGTATGCAATTTGGTTTCCTCAGGAACTCCTTCTCTCTACTGTAAATGTGAGCTTGAAGGCTATTTTTTTTTTTACTTTTGCCCATGATATGTATTCAGTCAGTGTTGCCTGTCACATGCTAAATGATTGAGTGCAGCTGTCACACAAGAGGAGATTACTCCCAAAGCTGAGAACTTACTCACTGCCTGCCTCCAATGCGAATGTGTCCTTCAGTTATTTTACTCACAAAATGAAGGTGTTGACTCAAGCTGTGGTCATTTGTTAGCTGGTCTTAAATGTTGCTTTTATTCCACATGTAGTACTTGGTTTTAAACTATTGCAAAAACACCTTCACTTCTCTGCGCTTTCAGGTCAGGAAGTGGAAGATGCTTTCCCGCCATCACGGCGACGCTACAGGCAAGCAGAAGGAAGCAGAGTCAGACGTCCACCTGGGGGGTTGTCAGTCCTGGGGGATCCACGCTTCGCCCCTCATGGCCAGCCCTGTCATGCTGGAGTGCTCCGTCTGCAGCGGGCCCTACATCAGCTACGCCCTGGAGGATACCTGGCAGCCACGTCAACGCACACAGGTAAGTTAGCCAACAGCTAATTAAATTATGCAAAAACTAATTTATTACGTTAATCAGTGGATTTTTTTAGTACTTTTAGTATCACTTTTAGTACTGACCAAAACTGTTTATTGGTATTCAACCGAACAAGACCCACCTTTGTATCAGTACTTGTAATTGGGCTACTTCACAGACCTATTTTAAATAACCCTGTGGCATCATCATTTGGTCAAACCAAACAAGACTGCTAAAAACCAGTCTGAGAAAAGTTCATAACATAAGAAATGATGGACAGTTTAATGGCTCTACATATATCATTAAAAAATCCGCAATTAAATATTAATGAACGGAAAGCCTACTATGGATATGACTCCATCAGATCTCTATACTGAATCAATAAACAACCCAGAAGAAAGAGAGGAAAAGAGCCTGAGATGCAAATATTCAAGGAGAAAGGGGCATGAATGGAAAAGTGATTGTTGACTGCAGAGAGATGTTAACAGTATAAGGGGATGTGAACAGCAAGCAATATGTGTGTGTGTGTGTGTGTGTGTGTGTGTGTGTGTGTGTGTGTGTGT